ACTTCGGCAATTCGGCACTTCAACACTTCGGAACTTCGGCACTTCGGAACTTCAGAATTTCGGAACTACGGCATTTCGGAATTTCGGGACTTCGGCACTTAGGGACCTCTTTTGCAGCCGCTTAGTAGATAACTCCCTAATTCCCATGGTATTAGGGAGTTATCGACCAAAAGGCTGACAGACCTAAATTGGTCTTTCAGCCAAATTTACTAATACTAGTAGTACATTTTGCCCCTACTCGCAAAGTTTTTACATACCGCGAGTAGGGGCATGTCTAGTAAACAGTGAGCAGCCTGTGACTGCTCACTGGTAAAAAATAAATAAAAATATAGGACCTATTGCCCCCCGGCCCCCACCCCTAAGCGGCGGGTAGAGTAAAATAAGGGGGGGGGACCTAATGTCCTGCCCCCTGGCCCCCACCCCTGAGCGGTGGGTGGGGGCCCTAAATTATAATAAGGGGGGACCTAATGTCCTGCCCCCTGGCCCCCACCCCTGAGCGGTGGGTTGGGGCCCTAAATTATAATAAGGGGGGGACCTAATGTTCTCCCCCCTGGCCCCCACCCCTGAGTGGTGGGTGGGGGCCCTAAATACTAATAAGGGGGAACCTAATGTCCTCCCCCCTGTCTCCCATCCCTGAGCGGTGGGTGGGGGCCCTAAATACTAATAAGGGGGAACCTAATGTCCTCCCCCCTGGTCCCCACCCCTGAACGTGGGTGGGGGCCCTACAGTAAAATAAGGGGGGGACCTAACATCCTCCCCCATGGCCCCCACCCCTGAGCAGTGGGGTCCCTAAATACTAATAAGGGGGGGCCTAAGGTCCTACCCCCTGGCCCCCACCCCTAAGCGGTGGGTGGGGGCCCTAAATACCAATGGGGGGGACCTATTGTTCTCCCCCCCCGGCCCCCACCCCTGAGCGGTGGGTGGGGGCCCTAAAAAAAAAAGTTACTCCCCAGGTGACTAGGAGTCCCTAAACCCCTAGTCACACCCCCCCTCCCAAAAAAAAATTAACCCCCTACCTACCCCCTCACCCTAAAAATAATGACTACCTGTAAATAAAATAAAACTTATCATTAGTTGTTTTCTTTCTTCTAAAATCTTCTTTTTTCAGCCCCAAAAAAGGCCAAATAAAAATCCATAATAACCGACGCAATAAAAAAAAAAAATAATCCATCTACACCCATGGAGGGCTCCACGCAGACTGAGCTCTGCAGGGTGGGGGAAGGCTTCTAAAGCCTTGCCCCGCCCTGCAATAAGGCTCAGAGCACTCTGATTGGTGGATTTAAACCATCCAATCAGAGTGCTCTGACAGGTAACTGAAGAGACTGACAGGTAAGTCTCTACATTTACCTGTCACAGCACTCTGATTGGTTGGTTTGAAATCCACCCCTTATTTGTATTTAGGGCCCCCACCCACCGCTCAGGGGTAGGGGCCAGGGGGAGGACATTAGGTCCCCCCCTTATTATAATTTACGGCCCCCAATTTAGGGCCCCCATCTGCCACTCAGGGGGCAAGGGGGGAGGACATTAGGTCCCCCTCCTTATTAGTATTTAGGGCCCCCACCCACCGCTCAGGGGTGGGGGCCAGGGAGGAGGATGTTATGTCCCCCCCTCTTTTTACTGTAGGGCCCCCACCCACCGCTCAGGGGTGGGGGCCAGGGGGAGGACATTAGATCCCCCCCTTATTATAATTTAGGGCCCCCACCCACCGCTCACAGGTGGGGGCCAGGGGGGAGGACATTAGGTCCCCCCTTATGCTGATTTAGGGCCCCCACCTGTCGTTTAGGGGTGGGGGCCCGGGGGAAGGAAATAGGTCCCCCCCCATTAGTTTACATTAGGGCCCCCACCCACTGCTCAAGGGTGGGGGCGGGGGGGCAATAGGTTGCGTTGCGTGTGGGGGCTCGGGAGGGGGGACCTTTTTTTTTTTAACAGTGAGCAGCCACAGGCTGCTCATTGTTTAATAAACATGCCCCTACTCGCGGTATAGCGAGTAGGGGCATAATTTACTAATACTAAGTAATCTTTACTTAGTATTAGTAAATTTGGCTGAAGACTAATTTAGGTCTTTCAGCCTTTTAGTAGATAACTCCCTAATACCGTGGGAATTAGGGAGTTATCTACTTATTCATTCCTGTCATTACATTGACAGGTTAAGTAACTTACATTTTATATGAATGTGTGTTACTTGATTGTTGTAAGTGTTGCAAATGCTTACAGCTGAATCCTGGCTATGTTTGTATACTTTTTATTTAAAATTGTATACAATGTAACATTCTTCTTCTTTCACTGGGTAAGTATATTAGTACTTAGGCAATACTGTGCTTCGGAACTTCGGCACTTTGACACTTCGGAACCTTGGCAACTTCTGAACTCAGCACTTCGGAACTTTGGCACTTCGACACTTCGGAAATTCGGTAATTTCGGAACGCCGGGACCTCGGCAATTTGGCACTTTGGACATTCGGAAGTACCCTAATGTCCGAATTGCTCGAAATTTGTCCGAATTCATATTCGGACCGAAACAAATTGCACATGTCTACCTGTTTCTACAGGGAAAAGAACCAGTAACAATGAGGATTAAACATGTACTCCATTAGGGGTGTTAGCTAATGTGTTCAATGGTAATCAGCATTGTTTACTTACCAAAAGAATGTTAAAGCATTTTGCCCTTTTTTATGAAAGTGGAATTTACAGTCAAGTAACCCAACACTTTCATTTAAAGGTGTGTGTCTGGAAGTGTTGCTATTTCAGGACATTTTCACTATACTTTGCACTTTCAATTTCTTTACAGGGCAGCTCACATTGAATAGCATAAACTGAACTGAAAAAAAAAACCAACAGATTCCTCTAGTTAACTTTTTGTTATATTATCCAATAACAAATCTATAGAAGGCCTACTTCTGTCTTTAAAACACATGAACAAACCAAAGGAGGAATCCACATTCTTATTCGGTCCTGGTGGACAGTCACTCGACAGTTTATTCAGAAGCTTGTCTTACGCTTAAGGACAAAGGCCATTTTTGCACTTTTCTGCTGTTTGTTTTCAAACGCAATTTGCATCTCTATCATTTATTGCACCAACACATATTATACATAGTTTTATGGAGGGCAAACAGGGCTTTAATTTGATGTCACATATACATAGATACATTCTCATTAATTATATAAACATGCCAAAAAATTGAAAAAATAAATAAAAAAAATTCACAGTTTTGGCAATAATAGCGTGTGCATAATATGTCCTGCTTAGAAAAAGTAATTCAAAAAAAATTCATTTATGTGTCTTGATTTATAGAGTACATCATATGTCTAGGATTTCAGCTTATTTTGAAAGCTATGGGTCACAAAATACAAGGACTAAAATAAAATTTCAATTTGCAACAATTTTAGAATTTGGTATGTATTAGTAGCCATCACAGAAAACAAAATTGCCACACAATTATATATTTATATATTTATATAAAGTAGACATCACAGGCTATTTACCTAAGGCTAGTTTGACACCTTTTACGTAGCCATTTCATCACCAATCTCTGCTAAATATTGGAGTAAAATTGTGTTTTTTCTTTATTTTGGCATATACACATATAACAAGGTTTTTGTAATGTGTATTTCGTAAAGCTGGTGTGTGCTATTCCTGCACAGAACCCAATACTGTATTCAGCTACATCTGCTGAGTATAACGATATCCCCATTGTATGCCTTTGGCACTTTTCTGTAAAGCTACAATGCCATATAAGAGACAAGGACATTTCCGTTTCAATAGTTCGAACTTTGGTAGATGGATTTGGTGGGCCTATGTCTCATTTTAGGGTATTCTATCAGTGTGACTGTTCAAATGACCCCACAAAGGGCTTTCATTTGATAAAGCAGACACCCCAGGGTATCTTGAATGGTGTAAATTGTGCCTTAACATGTCACCATTTTTCACCAAATGGCATTTTTACATATATGGTGCATTTTTGCGGAGTATTTCTTACACTTAATATGTACCACTGTCATAAAAATCCCCAAATTATACTCAGTTACACCTTCTGAGTAAAACAATTTGCCCAATGTATGACCTAGAAACTATTTTGTGAAGTTACAGTGCTGTGAAAGAGACGTGACAAGTTAAGGTTTTTAAGTGTGAATTTTCATGGAGGGTTTTGACTGTTTACCCGCCATGACGGACCAGGTCCATCACTCGGCGGGAAGGGGTTAAGTGGATGTTTATTTAAGTTTTTTAATTCTCTTTTTAATTGGATATCTTATATAATATGTAGTTCTACCCTATGGTGTTAGCTTGAAAAAGATCTCAGTTCAGAATTCAGATCAAAATATTGCGTGTTTTTCCTGATTTTCTAATAAAACTGCTGCATAAGTGATCCTGAGTGCCTGGACTACATTTATTACTTTAAAACACAGGAAAACACAACTGTTAATCAGTCGCCATATTTTACCTGTGCTGTCACAGCCTTCATTTGATTCATCTGCAGGTGCCAGGCAGGATGCTCCATCTGGTGCCCTCTACAATTTGCTACCAATGTTGCTATTCTTGTTTGTTGAAGAAGGACTTCAACAAACTCCTCTTCCATTGTAACAATGAGAAAAATCAATTTGTCAACTTAACCCCAACTGACCAAAACTTCCTATCTGCAAATCTTTTCTGTTTTCATTATTTTATTTTGAAAATAAAACTTTTACCTTGGATCACTGGCAGAATTCCCATGTAAGGGTTCAAGCCAAACTCATAAAAATGTTTTCCCATTAGGACAGAATCTGGCTCTCCATTTGGTTATCCACACCAAAGTCCTAAGCTCTTTTACAACAATAAGCCACTGTTTAAGTGGCTTGCCCCCTTACACATAAATCTAAAAGGAGAAAGGCAAATGCTGCAACATCTGTAAATGTAGTTTTGTTTTTTTAATCAATAAAACGTTATCAATGCATGCGACTCGTACACTATAGAGAGATTTTATTCTATACATATTCATCTATTCATCTATTTATTTTTATAAATATCTCCACTTTTGGGGGGGGGTGGGGCCAGGCGGCCATGCCAGCAGGCTTCAAGTCACTAGGGCCCCTGAGGGAACAAACTAATTTCGGGTGACTACCCAACCTACCCTGCTTGTACCACCCTGGGAGTCAATGACAGAAGGCTCTGGAGTGTCCCGGTGCTGCTGGAGCGCCGGACATCGGGTGGTTCTGGGTCCTGGTGAGAGACTCTGGGGCTTGGGGACTGAGGCCTACCCGGGAGGAGAGTGGGGCAGATGGCCGCTGCCTCACTTACTGTCCCGACTAAAGCAAACTTCCACTCGCCTGGTGCCTTCTTGGTTCCGTTTACCCCCCCCTTTGGACCGGTGGAGGTTATCCCAGTCCCCACCAGGCAGGCTACCACCTGTGCATCTCACCTGGGCGGCCCGAAGCCATAGGAGGAGGGCTCCCACGCGGTCTCACCAAAATGGCCGACGTCGGCGCTGCAACTCCACTGGCCGTGACAGTGAACCCTCTAAGACATGCCGACACAGTGATACGGTACTACACAGCCTGAGCTGCCACCACGGGAGGTCCTCGAGGGCTCTCGATCCCCCGCGCAACAACCCTGGAACACGCTCGATGACAGGCGGGAACCATTATAGCCTGCATTTCCTTCACCTGCCCATGTCACAGCAGCAAACTCCTAGAGCGCACTCTGGGCCACCTTCAACCGAGTATGCTTCACCAACCATCAGTACTGGGAGAACAAACGGGAGAATCATCCCCATTCACCGACCGCACGGTGCTACAGCCCACGACTGAGTACTAAGGCTTGCGAGGCAAGGCACCTAAACTCACCCAGCAACCGGGACGCTATGGCGGGACTTTGGGACCCAGTGGATCTCTTGGGGTAATCTACAGGGACTCTCCCCACAACTAGGCATGGACTGCATTCTCACTACCACTTACTTTGCGCTCAGTTGGAGCTGGCGGTGACCCCAGCCGTTCACACTAAGAAGCACACCGTATAGTATGCCACGGATAGCCTCACCAGATATTCCTGTAGCTGCAATTATTGATTAGCATGCATATCCTCTGTTTATTATCTTATCTATAGTTAATTTTGTTTAAATTTCCTACCTATTGACTGAGATAGTGGAGTGTGTGATGCTCTGCCTGGTGGCACCCTGATTTAATGATAATCTTTGCTAAGCTGGAGAATTTACAATTTACTATGAATGGCAGTGTGTAAATCAGAATTATTACCTCGTCTGCCATAACTGGTAACTGACATGCGGTGTAACCATTGATGCAAATACATTACCTTAAAATATAAAAAGCGCTATGCTCTGATAAGCCAAATGACTACCGTTAAATGTTGAATGTCATGCTAGCAATAGCTGTTGAAACTTGTTAATGTATACAAAAACTGTGCGATTACTCATGCCACTGTCGAACTCTTATATATGTTGATATACACTTTTGTGGCGTTTGTGGATATTTTGTACCTATCCGCACAAAAAAAAAAAAAAAAAATATCTCCACTTTTCATCCATGTGTAAGTTATTTTGTAATAAAATCTAAAACTCTACTTGCTTGGTAACTCATTAGTGTACAACATACCTTTATTAATCCCTTCCAATTGTAAAAATGCATAGTCTTCAAAAATTACAATATACTGAAAAATGTAAAATATAAAAGGTAACATTTCATAATTTAAGAAAAGATGAAACAATGTATTATATAAGCAGTTACAAAGTTGGTGTGACTAAATATGATTACTCACCCAGAGTCCTGAGCATATGCTAAACTATGTCATAAGGAGACCTGTGCATAAGGCTGACGAGTCCCAAAGTATCCTGGTGCATTATAGTAAACACCTATTAATATTTTTTGGAATAGATCTGGTACATGTTGCTAGTAATTAATCATCAGGATAAAAATGGAATAAACCAAAAAGTGCAGAACTATACAGATAGTATAGCAGGTGTCATTTAAATGTCCTTCAAGGTTCATAGGATAGCCTACCAACTGCTTGGAAGAAGGTGTATGGGAGCAGAATAGAAAGGGCGTATTGCGTCCAAACTAAGGGACACAACAGCAACAATAAAGAAAAAAAATCACATGACAATGAAACTAGTAAATATAATAGCATTACTAGGGGAAACTAATAAATGCACATTGAAAGTACATACTTAGTTTTTTTGGTTTTTAAGTAATGATTCTTAAAATTCCAAGTACAGAAAGCTCCCTACTGCTAACCAGAATCCATTGTGAAGCAAATACACGTCTCCGTCTTAATAATTGTGCAAAAATAAAAAATCTCAACAATTAAACTTGTGATAACAGTAATCCTCTTCTGCTGTCATTCAGGGAGTCGACTCATCAGTACTCTCTCCTAGTGATGCACCGAACGGTTCGCCGGCGAACATAGCGTGTTTGCGTCCGCCGCGGACGGCGAACACATGCGCGGTTTGATCCGCCCCCTATTCGTCATCATTGAGTAAACTTTGACCCTGTACCTCACAGTCAGCAGACACATTCCAGCCAATTAGCAGCACACCCTCCCTAGCAGACCCTCCACCTCCCTTTTCACTGTTATAGATTGAATGGCAGTAAGTTGTCTCAAAGCGGGTGTGTCAGGCTCACAGTGAATACTGTGCCCAGTGCCACCACTCACTCACTGGTGTCACAATAGCTTGCATTTAAAAACAAAAAACTTTTTTCATTTATAGATTGAATAGCAGTCAGTGTCCTTAAAGCGGGTGTGTCAGGCTCACAGTGGATACTGTGCCCAGTGCCACCACTCACTCACTGGTGTCACAATAGCTTGCATTTAAAAACAAAAAACTTTTCACTGTTATATAGATTGAATGGCAGTTAGTTGTCTGCCACTGCTGCCAGCTTCTGTGTCAGGCTCACAGTGGATACTGTGCCCATTTGCCCAGTCAGTGCCACCACTCATATCTGGTGTCACAATAGCTTGTATTTAAAACCAAAAAACTTTTTCACTGTTATAGATTGAATAGCAGTTAGTTGTCTCAAAGCGGGTGTGTCAGGCTCACAGTGGATACTGTGCCTAGTGCCACCACTCACTCACTGGTGTCACAATAGCTTGCATTTAAAAACAAAAAACTTTTTTCACTGTTATAGATTGAATAGCAGTCAGTGTCCTTAAAGCGGGTGTGTCAGGCCCCCAGTGGATACTGTGCCCATTTGCCCAGTGCCACGACTCATATCTGGTGTCACAATAGCTTAAGCTTGACATTTAAAAAGAAAAAAAAATTTTTTTCACTGTAATAGATTGAATAGCAGTTAGTTGTTTGCAAGCGTCTGGGTGTCAGGCCTCCTTCAGCGTGTGCTCTGCAGACCTCTGCCTGTGTACTTTGCCACTCATGTCTGGTGTCTCTATAGCGTGCTTTTACAAAGAAAAAAAAGTTTTTCAGTGTAAGCTAATAGCAGTCAGTGTCCTTAAAGCGGGTGTCAGGCCTCCTTCAGCGTGTGCTCTGCAGACCTCTACCCGTGTACTTTGCCACTCATATCTGGTGTCTCTATAGCGTGCTTTTACAAAGAAAAAAGTGTGCTTCCTTCAGCGTGTGCTCTGCAGACCTCTGCCAGTGTACTTTGCCACTCATATCTGGTGTCACAATAGCGTGCATTTAAAACCCAAAAACTTTTTTCACTGTTATAGATTGAATAGCAGTTAGTTGTCTCAAAGCGGGTGTGTCAGCCCTACAGCATGTACACTGCCAGTTTACAGTGCCACTCATATCTGGTGTCGCAATAGTGTGCATTTAAAAACCAAAAATCTTTTTTCACTGTTATAGATTGAATAGCAGTTAGTTGTCTCAAAGCGGGTGTGTCAGCCCTACAGCGTGTACTCTGCCAGTTCACAGTGCCACTCATATCTGGTGTCAGAATAGCTTGCATTTAAAAACAAAAAAAACTTTTTTCACTGTTATAGATTGAATAGCAGTTAGTTGTCTTCAAGCGGGTGTGTCAGGCCTCCAACGTGTACTCTGCCAGTTCACAGTGCCACTCATATCTGGTGTCACAATAGCTTGCATTTAAAAACAAACAACTTTTTTCACTGTTATAGATTGAATAGCAGTTAGTTGTCTGCCAGCGGGTGTGTCAGGCTCACAGTGGATACTGTGCCCAGTGCCATCACTCACTCACTGGTACCCGGACGAAATTTCTTTTCACAAAAGGCAATCCCCAACCTGTACTCGATTGTGCAAAAGGAAATAATGGCATGTCTGGCACACATTGTTGGGGCAAGGGTCCATCTGACCACTGATACCTGGTCTGCAAAACATGGTCAGGGCAGGTATATCACCTACACTGCGCATTGGGCAAACCTGCTGATGGCTGCCAAGCATGGAATGCGTGGCTCTGCAGAGGAGTTGGTGACACCGCCATGACTTGCAGGCAGGCCTGCTGCCACCTCCTCTACTCCTCTTACTCCATCCTCTTCCATAACCTCCTCGGCTGAGTCCTCTTCTGCTGCTGCGTCTTGCTCCACATCAACGGATAAGGGACGTAACAGGGATTAAACTGATAAGAATAGTACTCCTTAACACACCACTCCTATCTGGTGGCACATTAGATTGCACGCGCAGTGCCACAATGTGTTGTGATCTGTGAGTAAGGTAAACGGTTGTCCATACAAGTAAGGTTGCAGCGTTTTGAGGGCCCACACCACCGCCAGGCACTCCTTTTCAATGGCAGTGTATCTACTTCCCTGGGCAAAGGTTTCCGGCTTAGATAAGCCCCGGGTTGCTCGCCACCATCTGCTCCAACTTGGCTCAGTACTGCTCCCAATCCAAACATAGAAGCGTCTGTATGGACGAGAAAGCGTTTAGTTGGATCAGGAGCAGAAAGTACAGGTGATTTAATGAGTGCCGTCTTGAGCTGTTGGAAGGCCTGTTCACACTCTGGGGCCCATACTACTATCTTGGGGAGGTTTTTACGCGTTCCTATATGGCACTTACTGGGCCTCCCTAATCCGGTCTAGTACGGCTCCTATGCGGGTCAGGTGTTAGGGCCAGGAGCAGCTAAAAATGGCTATGTCATCCAAGTAGGCGCAGGCATACTCCTGAAACCCATCCAGTAGCCGATCTACCATCCTCTGAAAGTTAGCCGGGGCATTCTTCATCCCGAATGGCATGGCCTTAAACTGATACAGGCCAAACGAGGTGACAAATGCCGACTTGTCTAGGAGCTCGTCTATCCGGGGCATAGGGTGGGCGTCTGAGGTTGTTTTATCGTTTAGCCTCCGGTAGTCTACACAGAAACGGGTCGTGCCATCCCGTTTCGGTACTAGTACTACCGGGGAGGCCCAGGGGCTGTCAGAGTGTTCTATCACCCCTAACTGCATCATTTCCTCAATTTCTTTCTGAATATTTTCTTTAACTGCTTCGGGCATGCGATAGGCGGTTTGGCGAAGGGGGGTCTGGTCTAGGGTTTCAACTTTGTGAGTGGTTAACGGACTGTACCCAGGTAGGTTGGAAAACGTGGCCCCCTTGTTCTGGATTAGTCTTTGGACATGGGTTCGCTCCTGGGGGTCTAACCGTTCTCCTAACTGTACTTCTCCCAGGTCTCCGCTCTGGCCCTCTAGGTCTAGGAGATATGGGAGTGGCAAATTATCACAATCTTCAGTGGCAGGTGCACAGATCGTGGTTACCTCTTCCGTGCGCTCGTGGTATGGCTTGAGCATGTTCACATGGAGCATGCGCTTGCCTCCCGTGCCTGTGACCACAAAGATCACAAAGGTGGTATCACAAACCTGCTCTACCACCTTGTATGGGCCCTGCCAGGAAGCCTGCAGCTTGTCCTTGTGGTCAGTGTCAATCTATATCTGCCAAGTGACCCTATGTAGGGGGAACAATCTCTATTCTGCTCTGTGTCAGTGTGTATCATGGTCTCTGAGGACAGGTGTCAATCCATATCTGCCAAGTGACCCTATGTAGGGGGAACAGTCTCTATTCTGCTCTGTGCCAGTGTGTATCATGGTCTCTGAGGACAGGTGTCAATCCATATCTGCCAAGTGACCCTATGTAGGGGGAACAGTCCCTATTCTGCTCTGTGTCAGTGTTTATCAGGGATCCTTAGGATAGGTGTCAATCCATATCTGCAAAGTGACCCTATGTAGGGGGAACAGTCCCTATTCTGCTCTTTGTCAGTGTGTATCAGGGATCCTTAGGATAGGTGTCAATCCATATCTGCCAAGTGACCCTATGTAGGGGGAACAGTCCCTATTCTGCTCTGTGTCAGTGTGTATCAGGGGCTCTGAGAACAGGTGTCAATCCATATCTGCCAAGTGACCCTATGTAGGGGGAACAGTCTCTATTCTGCTCTCCGTCAGTGTGTATCATGGTCTCTGAGGACAGGTGTCAATCCATATCTGGCAAGTGACCCTATGTAGGGGGAACAGTCCCTATTCTGCTCTGTGTCAGTGTGTATCAGGGATCCTTAGGATAGGTGTCAATTCATATCTGCCAAGTGACCCTATGTAGGGGGAACAGTCCCTATTCTGCTCTGTGTCAGTGTGTATCAGGGGCTCTGAGGACATGTGTCAATCCATATCTGCCAAGTGACCCTATGTAGGAGGAACAGTCTCTATTCTGCTCTGTTTCAGTGTGTATCATGGTCTCTGAGGACAGGTGTCAATCCATATCTGCCAAGTGACCCTATGTAGGGGGAACAGTCTCTATTCTGCTCTGTGTCGGTGTGTATCATGGTCTCTGAGGACAGGTGTCAATCCATATCTGCCAAGTGACCCTATGTAGGGGGAACAGTCTCTATTCTGCTCTGTGTCAGTGTGTATCAAGGACCCTTAGGACAGGTGTCAATCCATATCTGCCAAGTGTAGGGGGAACAGTCCCTATTCTGCTCTGTGTGAGGAGGAGGAACGGGAAATGAGTAGCTCGGCATCCAACCTTGTGCAAATGGGGTCTTTCATGCTGTGGTGCCTGTTGAGGGACCCTCGTATAAAAAGGCTGAAGGAGAACGACCTGTGCTGGGTGTCCACGCTACTAGACCCCCGGTATAAGCAGACAGTGGCGGAAATGTTACCGAATTACAAGTCGGAAAGGATGCATTTGCAAAATAAATTACTTTACACAGCGTATAAGGGTGATGTCACAGCACAACGGGAATCTAACAGGGGAAGAGGTGAAAGTCATCCTCCTCCTCCCACGACCACGCCATATCTGCCAAGTGACCCTATGTAGGGGTAACAGTCCCTATTCTGCTCTGTGTCAGTGTGTATCAGGGGCTCTGAGGACAGGTGTCAATCCATATCTGCCAAGTGACCCTATGTAGGGGGAACAGTCTCTATTCTGCTCTCTGTCAGTGTGTATCATGGTCTCTGAGGACAGGTGTCAATCCATATCTGCCAAGTGACCCTATGTAGGGGGAACAGTCTCTATTCTGCTCTGTGTCAGTGTGTATCATCGTCTCTGAGGACAGGTGTCAATCCATATCTGCCAAGTGACCCTATGTAGGGGTAACAGTCTCCTATTCTGCTCTGTGTCAGTGTGTATCATGGTCTCTGAGGACAGGTGTCAATCCATATCTGCCAAGTGACCCTATGTAGGGGGAACAGTCTCTATTCTGCTCTGTGTCAGTGTGTATCATGGTCTCTGAGGACAGGTGTCAATCCATATCTGCCAAGTGACCCTATGTAGGGGGAACAGTCCCTATTCTGCTCTGTGTCAGTGTGTATCAGGGATCCTTAGGACAGGTGTCAATCCATATCTGCCAAGTGACCCTATGTAGGGGTAACAGTCCTATTCTGCTCTGTGTCAGTGTGTATCAGGGTCCCCTGAGGACAGGTGTCAATCCATATCTGCCAAGTGACCCGATGTAGGGGGAACAGTCCCTATTCTGCTCTGTGTCAGTGTGTATAAGGGATCCTTAGGACAGGTGTCAATCCATATCTGCCAAGTGACCCTATGTAGGGGGACCAGTCTCTATTCTGCTCTGTGTCCTTGTGCATCAGGGGCTCTGAGGACAGGTGTCAATCCATATGTCAAGGTGTCAATATGTCATATGTCAGGTGTCAATCCATATTCATTGTGATTTAAGAATGTTAGGTGATTTCTGCCCTTTATGGATTAAAACCAGACTCTGCATCAACTGTGTAATTTTCCATGGGAGTTTTGCCATGGGTCCCCCTCCGGCATGCCACAGTCCAGGTGTTAGTCCCCTTGAAACAACTTTTCCATCACTATTGTGGCCAGAAAGAGTCCCTGTGTGTTTTAAAATTCGCCTGCCCATTGAAGTCTATGGCGGTTCGCCCGGTTCGCCCGGTTCGCGAACATTTGCGGAAGTTTGCGTTCGCCGTTCGCGAACCGAAAATTTCGTGTTCGCGACATCACTACTCTCTCCATTTTGTCCACTCTGAAAATTCCAGTCCATATTTAGGAAGGCGAAACATGAACATTTTTTTAATTTATATTTATTTTCAATATGCAATGCGGCTTTATACAAAGTAAGCAAATGAAACATGACCATACAGTACAACAAAATAACACAAAAAAAAGGATGGCATATCAAATATAGTCCATGATTAACAACACTGTATGTGAATACACTCAATGAAATGTATACATAAAAAAAGGAAGACAATGACGAGCAAAGTATCAATTTAGAAGGAAATACAGATATCAAATAGCTGTATATTACAAACTAGCTGACGATGTAACTTTATAGTGCAACTACGGTGACACAGTGTCTTTGTAAGTACCTGTGCATAGTCTGACTGCCTTTTCCATCTTCAACATATGATCTACCTCTAGTAGAAGGGAGAATGAAATACCAGAATGTTTTTCCAGGCTCTTGTAATTAACGAGTGGCTACTATGAAAATGGCAGAGGCACAAACTCTGATCCAGATGGGATTTCTAGGGATAGATTTGAAAGTGTCATCTTGATTTTGGGTAAAAAATTGAATTTATAGTTCTATTGATCATTGCAAAAACTTTCAATAAGAGATTGGTGAGGACTGGACATGACCACATATTATCGTGTGCCAGGTAAGTTACAGTTCCTCCAACAAAGTGGTGAGGAGCCAGGGCCGGCCTTTGGGGTGTGCGAGCTGTGCGGCCGCACAGGGCGCCATGGCAACAGGGGCGCCGGGCGGCCGACACAGCTCGCAGTCGCTCTGTCACTGGCCGGCCCGAGATTGTGTGAGAGCTGAGCCGCGGTCAGTTTCCGGAGCGTGTAGGAGGAGCTTGGGGCGCAGGCGCAGCGTCCAAGTGCTGCACCTTCACAGAGAGCCGCAGAGGGATCCGCTCCATGTGTGAGGGCGGCGGCCGGTGCTCTGCAGACAGGGAGGGAGCAGCAGCCTTCAAAGTAAGTACCTTATTTATTTTTAAGCCAAACATCTTTCATTAAATGGGGCAGGGTCTAATTAAGGGGGGCAGGGGACTAGATAAGAGTGGCACTGGGTCTAATTAAGGGGGCAGGGGACTAGATATGGGTGACACTGGGTCTAATTAAGGGGGGCAGGGGACTGGCTATGGGTGACACTGGGTCTAATTAAGGGGGGCAGGGGACTGGGACTGGCTATGGGTGACACTGGGTCTAATTAAGGGGGGCAGGGGACTGGGACTGGCTATGGGTGACACTGGGTCTAATTAAGGAAGGCAGGGGACTGGGACTGGCTATGGGTGACACTGGGTCTAATTAAGGGGGGCAGGGGACTGGGACTGGCTATGGGTGACACTGGGTCTAATTAAGGGGGGCAGGGGACTGGGACTGGCTATGGGTGACACTGGGTCTAATTAAGGGGGGCAGGGGACTGGGACTGGCTATGGGTGACACTGGGTCTAATTAAGGGGGGCAGGGGACTGGGACTGGCTATGGGTGACACTGGGTCTAATTAAGGGGGGCAGGGGACTGGGACTGGCTATGGGTGACACTGGGTCTAATTAAGGGGGGCAGGGGACTGGGACTGGCTATGGGTGACACTGGGTCTAATTAAGGGGGGCAGGGGACTGGGACTGGCTATGGGTGACACTGGGTCTAATTAAGGGGGGCAGGGGACTGGGACTGGCTATGGGTGACACTGGGTCTAATTAAGGGGGGCAGGGGACTGGGACTGGCTATGGGTGACACTGGGTCTAATTAAGGGGGGCAGGGGACTGGGACTGGCTATGGGTGACACTGGGTCTAATTAAGGGGGGCAGGGGACTGGGACTGGCTATGGGTGACACTGGGTCTAATTAAGGGGGGCAGGGGACTGGGACTGGCTATGGGTGACACTGGGTCTAATTAAGAGGGGCAGGGGACTGGGCATGGATGACAGGGTATGATTAAGGGGGGCAGGGGTTTGATTAAGGGAGGCAGGGTCTGATTAAGGGGTGCAAAGGGTTGATGAAGGGGTGGCATGGATTGCATTAATTGGCAGGGGATTTATTAAGGGGGCTGATAAAGGGTGGCAGGAAACTGAAAAGGGGGGCATGGGGCTGATTAAAGGGGGCAGGTGGTTGATAAAGGAGTGGGAGGGGATTGATGAGGAGATCAGGGGGCTGATGAAATGGGGGCAGATGGCTGATAAATAGGTGGGAGGGAATTGATGAGGGGGCAGGGGACTGATGAAGGGGTGGCCAGGGGTTGGATTATTTGGCATGGGATGTATTAAGGGGGCTGATGAAGGGGAGCAGGGGGTTGAAAAGGGGGGCATGGGACTGATTAAAGGGGGCAGGTGGGTGATAGAGGTGGGAGGGTACTGATGAGGGGGTCAGGGGGCTGATAAAAGGGGGAGGGGATTGGTGAGGGGGTCAGGGGACTGATGAATGGGGCAGAGGGCTGTTAAAGGGGTGGGAGGGGATTGATTAGGGGGTCAGGCGGCTGATGAATAGGGGCAGAGGGCTGAGTAAAGGGTGGGAGGGAATTGATGAGAGGGGCAGGGGACTGATGAAGGGGTGGCAGGAATTGATAAAGGGGTGGGAGGGGATTGATGAAGGGTAAGGGGTGGCTAGGAGTTTGACGAAGGGATGGCCAGGGCATTGATGAAGGGGAAGGGGTGGCCAGGAGTTTGATGAAGTGGAAGGGGTGGCCAGGAGTTTGATGAAGTGGTGGCCAGGGGCTTGGTGAAGATCTGGCCAGGGATTTTGGTTAAGAGGTGCAGTGGTTTTGTAGAAGGGGGTGGAGGCAACAGATTGTGAATGCTCCTAAAATAGTTTGAAGGGGTCCAAACAGAGACAGGTGAGGGGGGGGGGCGCCACAAGATTGTTTCGCACAGGGCACCTGAACACCTAAGGCCGGCCCTGTATGTACCCATGATTACAGTTGATCGTCCCATTAAGGGGCATGTCATCCCACACACATCCTTGCCAGAATGACAGAATGATCGTAAGTGTAGCATGCACACTAAATATGTACTTGCATTGTGCTTTGCCACAGTCCTCCTTGCACTGTGGGAAAGCGGTGCTCTGTAGGATGATTGGAAGTAATACAATTTTGTGATGTGATGAGTTTTTGACATCACATGAAATAACATTAGTCTATAAGAGGTTAACTCTGGTGAACTCGTTTGTGCTTGGTGTTTAGTTCATAAATAGTAATGGAAAGCGGTGTTCACCTGGAATCTTGAGAGAGTCTTTGGTGCCATATACATACAATCATTAATTCAATAAGGCAGTAAACTGCTACAGTTAATTATGTGCTGCGAAGTTGTTGTTTTTCTTTGCTTTAGAGATTGCTCTTTGCATATCGTCCCAACTTTATGTGGTAAAACTAGTGGTATACTCCAGGGCCATTCTAATTAAAGGTCTTACAGTGCGCGCAGAACATACTACAAAAGGAAGCCTGTGTGTTCAACTGAAACCAAAATTGCAAAGGAGCCTTTTTATATCCATATATAGGTCCACAAGTACACAGTCCATTGCCTCTACATATATCATTATACCAAAATGAATGTTTGTGAATGTACAAACCTGTGAATTTGAGATTAAAGTAGGTATACAGCTATTGGCTCATGGAATATTTTTTTCAGTATCTTTTTCTGGGATCCAAAATACAGATACACAAAATGAATCTTGCAATGTAGCATTTTTTTCTATAAAATGTTAATATAAGGTCACACTAACTGGTGTCAAATATCTCTGCACAGATCCCCACTTCCCAGATATTTGTACATTTGAAGCTGGGAGCTGCTAACTCATTTTGGGTAGGCTCCAAGTATGCTGTGTTATCTAAGTTACATCCTGGTCCCACATAAGGAAATGCAACAGAGGCGCAGTGTTTATCACTCATATCTCTCCGCCGTACTTAGGAATCAGGATTCCTGTGCAACATCATTTTCTATTTTGAGGAGGGCATTCAATAAATTTCACCACAATATCCACAATACAATACATGTCATACTTTGGTGAATAGCCCTGCATATGTGTGTGGGTGTGAGGTTACAATCCATTGTTTTCTTTTGCTATAATTACGCACTTAATCCACTCATACTTAACAGTGTCAAAGACAAACCAAAAATTTCTAGATAGTTAATTATTCCATTAATCCATGTAAGCACAAAAGTTTCTAGATAGTTAATTATTCCATTAATCCATGTAAGCACTTCCTACTCTTAGTTAACACTAACAAACATCGGCATAGCTGATAAAGGGTAATAAAACAAAACCAGGAGCCTCTAAGTAACACCGGACCACAAAGTAATGTTGTGTCTTCCTCCCTGGCCACAGGTAAGAGGCAGGGAGGTGGGGGCGAGGGAGAGGATATTAAATAAAGCAAAATATACACACGTTGCATCTACTACATACTCACTCTCTTTACACGCACACACACATCATCCACAATACAAACACACTGCATTTACTATACACACACTTCTGGATTCTCCACACATACACTACATTTTCTAAACATACACATTAGCCTACAACACACTACATCAACTACTGCAGTGCCTGCAAGATAGTGGTGGAATAGGTGGCTGTCCCTGTAGGCAGACTTAGACGCAGGTCCTCTGGAGCTGTCAACCAATGCAGCTCCATTGGTTTGCAACTCTCATCAAACATCGGCAGGCTTGTTTGGATAATAGCTGTAGATTATAGCAACAGAGTCTTAAAACAGAGGAGGCACATAGTAGTAGGTAAATGTGTTATAGTTTTTTTTCCTAACTTATCATTCCTACAAGCACTCGGATTGTCTGCAGACTGCTGATGTCTAAAGTGACTTAAAATATTAAAATATTTTAATCTCTCATTAATATTAATTGAATCCTATATAATTTATAAAAATTCTACCATGTTATTGATTTTAAAGTTATGAAGAAAGATTAACAAATTTAAAAATGCTGCCTCAGAGGGCATACAATAGTAATATATAAATATATTCGGGCCAATACAAACCATTGTCTGGAAATGTATTAAAGGATCACTATAGTGTCAGGAAAACAAAGCGGTTTTCCTGACACTATAGTGCCCTGAGGGTTAAAACCCCCTCAGCAGCTTACCTTAATCCAGCACTGGGCTCCCTAGGCGCTGGTGACCTCTCCTCCCCCCTGCCGACGTCAGCTCCCCCGTCCGACGTCAGCGGAGCCGAATGCGCATTCAAAGTGTCCATAGGAAAGCATTTCTTAATGCTTTCCTATGGACGCTCTGCGCAATGAAGGCGAAATGTGCCTCCAGCATTGCAGATGCGCCTCTAGTGGCTGTCCTGAAGACAGCCACTAGAGGCTGGATTAAATCAAAATGTAAACATAGCAGTTTCTCTGAAACTGCTATGTTTGCAGCTGCAGGGTTAAAACCTGAGGCACCTGGCACCCAGACCACTTCATTGAGCTGAAGTGGTCTGGATGACTACAGTGTCCCTTTAATAAACAAAGCTACATATAGGACACATGGTCACATATTTAGCCTGGAAGAAAGGAAATTCAGTCTAAGGCAAAATAAATGTTTTTTTTTACAGTAAGAACAATAAGGACATGACATTCCCTGCCTGAAGAGTTGGTTTTATCAGAGTCTGTACAGATGTTTAAGCAGCAACTGGATGAATACTTGCAAAAACATAATATCCAGGGATATAGTTTTTAATTTGTGGAGTAATACCTTCATGATCCAAGGAGATATACATCTGCCATTCTGGGATTAAGAAGGATATTTTTCCTAGTTTGTTGCAAAAGTGGAAGCGCTTTAAACTATATCACTCAAGTTTTGACTTAACTTCAATATTACTAAAAAGTCTTATCACTAATATGTTTTTCATATTTAAAGTGCACCTACATATGGTACATTTTATGTTTTACAGAAATTGTTCAACTGGTGCTGAATCTGATTCTGTGCAACCAACTTGCACCATCGGCACCTCCTCCACTACTACCACCAGCCTTAGGAGGCTAATGAGGAGGCATAGAAGAGAGGAGACTCTTATATAGTCCATATAATCCCAGGGACCTGTCATAGGAGTTCATGTAGGGGGAATGTCAAAACAAAAACAAAATAACCTTCCTGTTTGCCCAGCTGATTGCTATAGGGAGAGCTTACTTTTCCATGATAGAAAGGGAGCCCTTTAAGCAACTGATACAGGCCCTTGTTCTGCAATACAGGTGATACTTGAAAAATTAGAATATCGTGCAAAAGTTCATTTATATCAGTAATGCAACGTAAAAGGGGAAACTAATATATGAGATAGACACATTACATGCAAAGTAAGATAGTTCAAGTCGTGATTTGTCATAAGTGCAATGATTATGGTTTACAGCTCACGAAAACCCCAAATCCACAAAATTGACAATAGGCAGCCAGGAAAAAGGTTCTGGGCTGCCAATGTCATGTGTACTGGGATTGAAACTAGGCCCCAGCCTATAATTACCAATAACTCAGTATATGCAGTGTTTCAAGCTGAAACACTGCACATTCAGACTCCTACCATCATAATCACTTCGAATCACTAAAGTAGTAATGGTAGTTGGAGTAACTCTTTAAATTCAAATAGCCCAAGTTGGCTCACCACCTGCTCTTCACTTTGACACTTGAGGCATTAGAATCTGCCATCTGTTTCTAAATATGGAAAAAGTATTCTTTTCTTAAATCTGGTGGTAAGTAGAAAAAAAATCTTAAATAAAATAACCCTTCTGCTGTGGATCCCACTTTATTTCAAATGCCTTTCATTGCAGAGGTTTATACCTGCCTGGTTGAGTCTTGCAGTGACTACATCTGTTATCTCCACAGATCTAGTTGATATAGTACAGTTTTTTCCCCACTGACACTACAGACTGGACATGTTAGAAAGCTTTATTGTTGTCAGGGTGGAAGGGTTGTGTGGGTGGTCAATTGTCCAATGACTTTTTCTTTTTTATTGTTTATAAATTAGCTTTTTCCAACTTACAATGATTCCTGCTCCCCATTTTTCATGAATACAATGCAGAAAAATTATTTTGTTTCTATATATGGATATGTAATTATCTAATTTTAGTAACTAGAGAATTAACATTGCAAAAAATGACTAATATTATGTAGTGTATGTGATTTTGTATGACCCTTTTATGGGGCATCCAGCGAGGGGTCATCGGTCATCTGTCACCAGCATTCTATGTGTGTTGATGACAGATGCCAAATATACACACAACTGACACTAGCCAGCCTAGAACTCTCATAGCAAGTTGGCTTATGTCACTGCCAAAGCAGCTAGGTGTCTTAACTCTTTACACAAACTGAAATGCTGCACATATAAACTCCAAACACCATGACCACTTCACATCAGTGAAGGGGTTATTGTTCCTGGAGCAGTCCTTTAACAAATACTCTATATGCACTAAATGTAAAGAGCACGCCATTTGTGCCTCTATTACTCTTTTGTAGATGCTGCTGATTTCTGTAAGCCAATGCTAACTGATAAAATTATTCTAAAGTTTCTTTATATCGTAAAACCAGCCTTTACATTCCCAGTGCTGGCATCACTTTTCACCTAGTCTGCGCAGATTAGTGATTTGCTCTCTCAGGAACATGTAGATGAACATTTGATTCAGGTCACCAGAGTTGGGTACAGTTTTCATTGATAACTAGAATATAACCTAGAATATAACCACAAGATATGCCACACATTTATTGCCTTCACCACGGCATCATCGGTGAAACTAAATAAAATCTGTGAGGAACAGCCTTTAATAACAAACACAGCACTCTTTAATGATTATATATTAACTCATGCAGTTTTCTAAAATTAAAGTGATACACTATCACTGTCATGTCTATTCATTGAATGAGATACCAACTTATTTGAGCAGCCTGAACTTTCCTTTTTTTATAAATATTAAATTTCTCATAAAAAAAAGAAATGGAAATTTAAAATGTATATTTTCTATATTTACATTTTTTTACACTTACACACACAGAGCTCTAGGTTGTATGGCCACATTTGAACAAATATGTATTTGCTTCTGGGATAACCTTTCTAGACAAAATGCCCAGTCTGCAACAGGGCCCTATGTGGAAGAAACAGCTTCCAACTATCGGGCATGTAGGCCACGAACATCTGGATTTCAAACAGGTCAAGGTACCAACCCTCTGCCACATGCAGCCATCAGGAGAAATCATCTAAGGCTTACTTACCTTCCATCTGCGGTACAAATTTGAAGTTGACTCTGGTATAACGGACTATGAGTCAGCTGATTCTTGTCTTCTCTGGGTTTGATATAGTGTAAACTTAACCTGAGACCTTAGGAAGACTGGTCGTACACAACCAAGTCTGTGATTCGTAGACAATGGTGCCAATGTTTAAACTTTATTGGCATATGTTACAAAGTTCGGTTACCTTGACTTTTTCGGCTTAGAGTTGAGCACAAGAGACTTTGTTTCTTTTACTTCTTGCATAGTCTCATCCTCATTGATACGCTTAACAAGTGAGAATGACCTGCTTGTACTTTACCTGATGTAGTAGAGGGAGGGAAGGAAGGAAGCATTACAGCTTGGGAGGTAGGGAGAGAAGGGGAGGAAAATTGAGCAAATGAAATCTGGAAGCAGGTTATTGTACATATCACGACTGAATGTACGGGACGGTTATTTTGGGACAAAACATGCATTCCTGACCCTATAGTGTTAAAATCACTATCTAGCCCCCTTATGCCCATAAACATAGTTAACTCTTACCTTTATCCCAGTCTGCTAGTGCTGGCTCTGCCCCTGATCTGCCTCCTAGACTGACATCATCAAAAGTAATGATCTGAACCAATCACATTCCTATAGAAAAGCATTAGTTTGGCTGAAATTACCAAGGAGGAGGGGCGGGGGGCAGAGTGAACTGCTACCCTGGCCAATCAGCATCTCCTCATAAAGATGATTTGGCCCAGTTCATCTCTATAAGGAATGTTCAGTGTCTACATGCAAAGGGAGGAGACCCCTAAAGTCAGTAAATACCACTGCCCCTGGAAGAACCTCTAGTAGCCATCTGAATAGTGGCCACTTGAGGTGTTCATAGGCTGTAATGTAAGCCTGTGATGTTATTTTAGCTAGGCCCAAAATGTAGTATGCCTAAAATCTCCATGTGGCATATGCAAGTACAGGTATCTGTTGTATCTGTTAGTCAGTTACATGTAGCTAAGATACTGTCATCAATGTACTGAGCATGTGCAAGAACTGAAACCACATTCCATTCTCCTAAAGGGCCATGTTGCCTGTCCATATAAGGCAGTGGCGTACACATGACCCATGGGGCCCCGGTGCAAAAATTGATCTGTGGGCCCCCACCCCCTGCGCGCTTACTCGGGACCGCGGGTCGGGGCCGCAACACATGGCGGCGGGCACCATGCTGCACACACACCTAAAGGACCACTACAGACACCCAGATCACATCAGCTCAATGAAGTGGTCTGGGTGCCAGATCCCTCTAGTTTTAACCCTGCAGCTGAAAACATAGCTGTTTCAGAGAAACGGCTATGTTTCACTGAGGGTTAATCCAGCCTCTGGTGGCTGTCTCATTGACAGCCGCTAGAGGAGATTCCGTGATTATCACTGTGAAAATCACAGTGAGAAGACACTGAACGTCCATAGGAAAGCATTGAGTAATGCTTTCCTATGGGCGGTTTAAATGCGCGCGCGCGCGCCTCTTGCCGCGCATGTTCATTCGGAGCTGAGAGGCGGCGGGATCCCCAGCGCCAAGGAAGTCCGGCGCTGGAGAAAGGTAAATGCTGAAGACACACACTCTCACGAACAGACGCATACACACTAGCTAACAGACACACACATTTACTGACAGAGACACACTCAGCGACAGACATACATACACACTCACTTACAAAACATACACTTTCACTGACAAACACACACTCACTAACAGACATCAGACACGCCCAATAACAGACACACCCAATAACAGACACACTAACCCCCACACTAACACTAACACACCCACACTAACACACCCACACTAACTAACACACACACTAACTAACACACACACTAACACTCACACACTAACACTCACACACACACACACTAACACTCACACACACACACTAACACACACTAACACTAACACACACACTAACACACACACACACTAACTAACACACACACACTAACACTCACACACACACACACTAACACACACAAACTAACACTAACACACACACACACACACTAACACACACTAATACTAACACACACACACTAACACACACACACTACTTTTTACTTTACACACACTAACACACACACTAATACACACACTAACACTAACACACACATACCTTACTAACACACACACTAATACACACACTAACACTAACACACACACTAACACACACACCGCAGCAACACACACACTAGCACACACACACACACACTAACACACACACACTAACACACACACAAATACACTAACACACACACACTTTTTTTTTAATTTAATCCCCCCAGCCTCCTTACCTTTTGGAGAGCTGAGGGGATTCCCTGGGGTCCAGTGGTGCTGCTGGGCGGGCCGGCTGTCTGGGTGGCCGGCGCGCAAGGGAGCACTCTGCTCTGAGTGCTTCCTCTTCAGCGTCCTCGCGCGCCGCGTAGGGATGCCGGAGCCGGAAGATGACGTCATCTTCCGGCTCCGGTATCCATTTGGTGCGCGAGGGAGCTGAAGAGGAAGCACTCAGAGCAGAGTGCTCCCTCGCGTGCCCTTCTGCCTGCCTGCCGGGTGTCAGCAGGGCCAGCCTCGGGGGGCCCTGAGGTGGCCGGTTCCTGGGCCCCACTGGAGAACAGGCTGGCCCTGTGGGTACATACCGGGTCGCAGGGGCGGCCGGGCCCCCTGGTGGGCCGGGCCTGGTCGCAGCCGCGACCCCTGCGACCCTGGTATGTACGCCACTGATATAAGGTAATCCTGTGTATCCTGTTTGCTGATTGGTGTAAGGGTACAGATGGGGGATGCGTAGCTTATAAAAATCCTCTACTCCATGTGCTCAGTGCTCAGACCTTTTGAACATGGGTTCAGCTAAGACCCGATCGGTGAGAAAAAAGACCTTTGCTTCCTGAAATGACCTGTGTCCAAACTCTCTGTGCATGGCTTCTTCAGTGTTACCCGGTAACAAGCCTAGGGACATGTAAACACTGCCTTTGCTTGCAG